TACTTTTATAATAACAAGCTTGTTATAAGGAAATTAAGCGCTATAAGGTATTTAGTTGTCTTAAGAGCACTTTTTTTTTTTTTTATCCTTATGTAGTTAGGAAAAAAAAGGCTAGCTCTTTTCTGACTTGTTGAGGTACGTGTAATTTACCATTAATAGGGGGGGAGGGTAAGTTTTAGAAGAGCTTCTGACTTTCCCGCTTTTGCTATCTTAAGGGTTCAAGTAAAAGAAACCGAGGCTTAGTTTCTTTTATAAATTTGAGTAGCGTCAAGATATAGTGCAGAAATTGGGTTTTATATATGGAAAACTTTATAAATTCAAGGCGGTTTTGCACCGTAAAAGCTCTTTAAAAAAAAGCTGAAGCATGTTTTACCCTTAAGGCACAAGATTTATAGAATGTTACGTTTCTAATTAAAAGTGCCATTATTTTTTATTCGTTTACCTCGCGCAAAATTATTAAAAGTTTCTAATTAAAGAATCGTAATAGCATATAATTAGTTGTTTGAAAATATTATTCTTTAATCATAGAATTTAGTAGTTCTTAACTATTTTAGTTCCTTATACAAGATGTAGATTAAAGATTTTAGCCACCTAAAAACGCCTGTTATAAACTTTTTCAAATAACAGCGGAAAACACTGATAGCGGGTACTCACTTAAAAGGTAATGATATCAAGTGCCCCTCGGTTTAAGTTTTTATTTCAGATTTATTTATTTTGTTTCACTAATTAATTCTAACCCTTTGCCATTAAAAAACTTTGACTTCTAAAGTATGAACGAACTATGTCCGTTCATACCATAAAAAAGATTTACAGAAGAGAAGACTCCAACCATAAAATAATGACGCCTAAACAACCCCTCTCAGTTACATTTAAACTGAGGGATGGGTAAAGAGTCAATTAGAGAAAGAGGGATACCCTTTCATGAGACAAAAAAAATACAAAGGTTTTTATAAAATTCCGCTATTAACAACCAGAAAGCTGCAATTTCGTTACACGAGAATAAACTTAGAAATGCTTTTAAGTATTTTTCTAAGGAGTTAAGTAATGATATATAATTTAAGGAAATCTTGGTCTAGATGTTCAGAGTTTCTTTAACAAATTCATGAAAAAGTTGTAATTTTCGTCAAAGAAAGGAGTGGAAAGAAGTGCATTACGTACCTATTTAAACTAAATAACGTGATCACTCCAAAAAGGTCTACTACGTCAGTAAATGTAAATATTATTTACTGACAAAAAAAAACTTTTAAATTTATTAAAAGCAGGAAAAAGGAAGTGAAAAAATTATACCCATGTCCTTTCCTTTAAAAACACGAGCTAGACCAGAGATTAGTACTAATCATAGAAAAACATTTTTCCTACAAAAGAAGCGACAACACTACAATACCACAATATTGACTTATAAAAGACTTGGTAAACCGTTAAACAATAGTACTGTCGGACAGGTATAACCCCACAAAAGGTCAATCGCAGGCAACTGGGAGCGTCCTCTTTGAAATTGCGGCTAATTTCGACAAGAACGCACCACAATTAGTAATTACCAGGACGGCCTCGTAGTAAATACCAAACACCGATTTCCGTGAACTACGTGTTCCTTCTAACCTTATAGCCTATAAAAGCAAAAAAAACACACTCCCGGAATATTTAGAAATCTCCAAAAAAATATGCGTACCAAACAAAACGACTCAAAACACAAATATTAATCTCAACGAAAAATTTAGTCTACATTATCCTCCGCTACCGCATCGTCACCCCTAAAAGTTTTTTTAGACCCCAGAGTTAAAAAAAAACAACCCGATAAAATAAGGGAAGGCTAATTTCACAACTACAGGACTACGAAGAGAAGCTAAGGATAAACAAGAATTTATTATGCCGTAGAGAAAGGGTATAAACACTGCCAAAAAAATGAATTGGGCGTAATTTGTGATGATTAATTTTCAGTATCAATAGGTAAACTGAAAGTTAGGGTCCGCGCACCTTGACAAGGCCTGTCATTTATGTTTTCAGTAGGCGCTAAAGTTGTATTTCAAAATATCCATATTATTTTAGCTTCATTAGTTTAAATTATTAGCTAATAAAGCAGCTAAATATATTAACTCTCTTATCCTGCCGTTTATGCTCTCGTTTTTTACTGCCCCGGTTAGCTTTTAAGTTCTAAAGCAGAGAAACTAAGAACTAGGCCTCTGAACCAGAAGCATAATAAAAACAATATAAGTATAATTTATTTTAGCGCTACCACTTTAAAATTACATAGGAACCAGGATTTTCAAAACTCTCGCAGCGCCGTATAACTGCTAATACCTCACTTGTAACAATGTTTTCTATTGTCCAGGTAGTCTCCTTTATTCTTCCACCATAAGTTTTTTTCATGCAATTTTCCTGTTGTTTTTGCTTAATTTTAAACTACTTTTTTTTAGCAAATACTTTTTTCACCTCCACGCGAACTTTAAGCAAAATATTAAATGTTTTTTTCGTGTTTTAACATTTATAACTTTCTAGCTTGAATAGCCTTACATAATTCGGGTGCTACTTAAACAGAAAGTAGAAGTTTTCTTTCAAAGAGCTAAGCACTCCTTGGTAGCAACCTATATAGCCATTTCTATATCTCGTTTACCTTCCCCCTCGGCTTAAAGTTAGTCGCTGTCAAATATTCCACCTAGATTAAAAAGCTTTCGTAGTCCTCACGAGTTTTAGACATCTAAAGTACATCAGGCATTAGTGACCCCTTAGGTCGTACCTTTAACTGCTAATCGTATACATGCATCCCCTTCCTAAACTTTTCTCTAAACCTTCTTGACAGTCTGCGACATTATTACGTCCCTATTGTTTTTAGTTTTTGCATATGATTAGTAAAAATGTATTGGAATGATCTGTTTAATATCGTGGCCCTCCAACCCCCTCACGGTTCCACTTTCGCCTTCATTCTTAACTAAACCTTAACGAACCTTAAAGAACTCTTATAAACAGTTTCCACAATCAATAAGTATATGGTCATTTACTTTATTAAAAGCTGTTTAAGCACATGCAGCCACTGAATTAGTACTGCAGTAACTTCTATAAGTATCCTAAAATAAAGCACTTAAATGCAACGTTGAGTCCACTGCCTCCGAAGCACTGAAAAGTATATAACTCTTAGCTCGTAATCACTTTTAACTGTCTATAGGATTACCAAAAAAAAATTAAACTCATAAGCTCCAATATACCTTGTTCCATCTACAACTATAAAAAATTCCACTCTCTCTTAAATTGCCAACAGTTAAAATTTAACAACATTCTTTAGCTGATTACTTAAAGGTTCTAAGATAACAATCTTAGGGTAATGCATGCTCTCCAATAGTTTAAGGTTTGCAGAGACTGAACGTCATCTTTAAATATATTTAAGGTAATGTTCGTCTTTTTATTACAAGCAAGTTCAGTGAAATAGAATAGTTACATCGTGGTATTCATCTTGTTTCACAACTTTAATGTATTTAAAAGGTCTCCATGAATCTCTAATACTAAAAAAAAGATAAAGACAACAGAAAGGGGGAAACGTTTCCAAAACTTTTTCCCCATCCCGTGTCGTAAACGCTATTTTTTTTTAAGCGCTATGTTTGACCCTTTGGTAAAATTCATACGTGTTGCCTACAGTACTGAACAATTTGTCGTACCCTGCTTTTTCATTAGCTTTTTGGCAAGCCGCACCAATTCTTTTTTGTGTACAGGGGGATGCTTCCTTCGGTTAAAAAAGAAAACATATTTCTCGAGGTCTTCTTTCTCTACCAGTAGTTAACGCTTCTCAAAAGGTAGTGCTCACGAAAATCCTCGAAACCAATTAATCACATTATTTAACCTGAGGGTACCCCAGAGCATGCTTACGCACTTATACTTTTCCCCTTAAAAAAACAAATAAGAATTGCGTAAAACTAAAGTTATGTTTCTTTTTTTTTCCCCTTGCATCCCGCCCCACTCACACAGCTTTATCAGAATTATACCTAACTAAAGTTTACCTTTAAAGCCTATAAATATATTACTGTTAATACTACTACTTTTCTAGTTCTAGCACTCTAAACGCTATAACTTTCACCCGAAAATTCAAGGCCTCTCTTCCTGAGTAAATTTTACACTGATTTAAAAACGATGTCCACCGCAAATAAAATTTCCCACTATCTTATCTCTAAGGATACTTTTTCTCATTTCTACTTGTCTTATGAGTCTTTTTACAACTTAGAGTCCTACTAAAAATCTTCCGCGGTGTCTGCTACTAATAACTGATAAACTAAGATTATAACGATTTTACTGAACACTACAGTTTTATATTTCAACTCATCCCTGTTTTAATTGCTTAACTCAATCTGGTATAGCTTACAAGAGCCATTGTTAAGGGTGTCTCTTGATACTACCCAATTTGATAACCAACGTGTAATTATAAAGTTCGATTTAGAGCTTTTATGTTTCATATATTTATTAATATGGCCATTCTAGCGTTACTACCAAAATGCAGACACTGCCGCACTTTGCAAAGAGAAATATAAAAACTGCACTGCGCGCTTGAACAGAATTTTACTAAATTAACCCTACAAACTATTTTTAGTTACACATGTGACCAATATTAATGTTATTCTAAATGGGGCCGAATTTTATATCCTTCTAAAAATTTGTTAATGGAAGTTAAAGAAAGTTGTACGCGGCTTATAAACTCTCTAAACAATCTTGCGCCTATTTTACAACCTTGCTTCGTGAGTCTGGACTTAGATTTCGTTTTAAAGGTAACTTTGTTTTTAGCAGTTAAGCCTTAATTAAAAAATTTTGAAACCTGTAAGGTATTTAACTTTTTAATAACTTTTTCTGTTTATTTGTTAAACTACTTTTCCCACGAGACTATATGTGTTCTTATTATAGTGTTTAAATTGTTCTGACTCGGAATTTGAGGAAATTGAAGAAGCAAAGAAGAATAAAATTTCTAAGGTACGTGTTCTTTTTGCTTCTAATCTTATTTATTTACTTAGTTACAGGTTAGATTTTGCACTGTTTGCTCCAATTTTTTGAGTGAAAGACATTCCCATATAATTTGGGAACTTAACTTTGAAAAATTGGCTTTTCAATTAAGAAAAGTAGAGGTTAGGAATCAGTTGTTTTACTTTTACTTTTACTTTTGATGTGCTTTTGCTAAAAGTTTATTTCGCCTTGGCAACAGGAGTGATGTGCTTGTTCTTTTATCTTTACTATTTATTTTTTAAGAAGTTAATAAAAGGTGAACAGTTTTTTGGAGTAGGTATAAAATTACTACTTAATAACACCCGCGTTTTCCGTATATTTTAAGTTTACTGATAAGTCTTAAGATTATGTTGATTTTATATTAGTTGTTTGTCTACTTCTTTATATTTTCATTACTTTATTTTTGTTTTTTAGGTTTTATGTGAACTTTGCAGCAATGTGGCAAACTTAAAAAAGCTAGTGAAGTTTCTTTCATTTAACTACATTGAAAATAATAATAATAAAGGGAATGCCTTGGTTATTAAAGACATGAACAATTATATAAATAAGCTCGTCAGGCACTTTGTTGAAGTGAACGGCCACTCTTTGGAAGTTTCCGAACTTTACAAGCTAACTCTTCTGTTGGAAACTTGTTCCCTTTCTTTTTCTTTGCGTGCTTTGACAAAGTAATATTACACTTTTACTTTGTCTTATATGATTTAAGGTTGTGCTAACATGAATCTAAAACAGAGGCTTAAGGAAAACTACTTTTTTCTATAATTCTGAAAGATTGACCGCCAGTAGTTTTTTAGATTTTTTACACAAAGATATAAAAGTAGCTTGTAAATAAAATATATTAAAAATACTTGTTTACGTTATATTATTTTTATTTTGTTTAAGTTTGTAATATTTTGCTATTAAGTATTTTTTTGATTTAAAGTTCGGTTAGCAACGTTTGCACTTTAGTGGCTTTAACCTGATTTCCCAGCGCCATAATAATCCATTCGTTCGAATTATCGATTTCGTAAGAGGTCCACTTCACGTCGTGAATCTGTGTTTTTTTTCTTTTAAGTTAAAATTGCTTTTAAGTGGAAGATTTACCGCGCTCTCCTCAGTCATTTTTACAATGGGAGCTTGATTAGCACCTGCACTATTTTCGTTCAGATTCCACAATAAGCTTTGCTTATCGTAGCCTTACAAATTCTGCAGTAAAAAGGAAAAATAATAATAACAATAGCGTACCTGTGCTCCACAAGTGGTTGGCACGCCCAGGGGACCACTCAATGGCGGAGACTTGTAGAAAATGTCCTAAAAGATTAAAATGTCTTTAACATTGGAAATTTAGTTTTAGATATATCTTTCTGTTGTTGGTTAAAAGAAACATATAAAATATTCTTTATATGCGTTCGGCCGTCCCAGCACACCAAATACGGACGTTATGCGAAGTAATTAAGGTAATAACCTTTGCTTTGCTTGGCGGGAATACGGAAAGTAGATATAACCAAGTACAGAACATTTAGAAGACCTGCCAGCTTGTAAACGGGGATAGCCGGCACGCGCAAGTCTACCACCGTCACGCTGAGATCGTCAAGTCCAAAAGTAGCTTTATAATTTCAAAAATTTGATAGTGAATATCGGTGAGGTTTTAAAAAGTAAATTATAAAGGAAATGCAATTACAACTTATAAAAATTAATTAAGGTAGGGGGGAGCCCAAATATATAATATATATACAAATAGAAAGTAAGGAAATGGGATAGCGAGTACTTGCATAAACAATGTCTTTTTACCAATGTAGTTTGAGTTAGAGTTATTCCAGGATAAGCGAAGGAGAGGCGTCTCAGACTCGTAAATGATGCTGGAATGTTCAAGACAACTAGTGGCATAAATTAAAACTAAAATGTTTCAAGTAGATGTACAATAATTTTTAAAAGTACCGTAGATCAAATGCTCTTAAGGTGCCGTCGTCTCCACAGGTGGAAAAAATAGATTCTGACCCGAACTTGATATCATAAATCTGAAAAACCAATCTTAAAACGTAGTTTTATAAATATCATGTCTGTGAACTTCGCCATCGTGAGCGAGAACTTGGGAAAATACTTGACAGCTCTACTTTAACGTCTAAATAAAAATTAAAAAAGTTAACTATACTTAAACTTTATACCGAGGCATTCCAGACTGTCACTTGAGCATTAATACCACAAGCAGCAATTAACCCAGGATCAAAATAGTTCCAGTCCAGAGCAGTGAATAAAGTGTCGTTCCTCTACAACAGCGTAATAAGTTTAACAGAATTATTAAAACCTGTAAAGTATTTAACTCGGCACAAAACTCGAACAAATCATAAAGTTATATGATTAGATGTTATGTTACTCTTACAGTCACACACACACCACGGGAAGTATCACGGCAGAATATTGTAAATGTGAGGAGCTCTCCGGGTTTTCCAAATCTTTTGTTTGCCATATTCTAATTTTGTCGCTACTACAACAAAGCAAAGTGGCGTTTAAAGGAGAAGGACACCATCTTATCTAAATTAATATAGAAAAAATCGTGTGATGCTTTCTTTCAAAAATTTTTACAGCTGTGCATGGAAGATTTGTTAAAAGCGAATAATTATGGACAAGATTTTTATCTTCATGACTTTTGAGGGATAATATTTCTATCTTTTATATATACAACAAGGAAGGATCAATAATGTTAGGTATATTAACTTTTTAAAGTTAAATTAAGAAATCCTACCAAAATTATAAAAAGTTACCTTGTTAAATTCATTAAGCAAATATGTACAAGCTGCCAAATTCAAACTTCCGGCCTTTTTACTCCAATCAATATACGAAAGGTCACACAATGACTCGTAGGTCAAAGTTTTATCTTCGTTATTGGACATAAGTAGAAAAGTTGATTGAGAAAACTTGGAAGTTAGTTTACTTCTAGAAAAAAACTTTTTTGGCCTTTATAAGGTAAAATCTGGTTATTAAAAAAAATTAACCCATTGGTATCAAATCTTAGCTAGAAAGCCACCAACGAAAAGGTATTGAAAGTCTTATCGTTGAAGACAGTCAAAGCACACGAACGACGAGAATTGTTTCAGGCGTGAGAGGTTAGGTAGCCTCTTACAACACTCAACCTTTTAGATTAGTTACTATATGTTGCTCGCAAAAAGACCAAATGTTAATAAACTAGCTACTATATTTTTCTTATAATTTACCAACATATTAATAAAACTTTAGGGTAACATTAAAAAAGATGGATAAAAATGAAAACAAAGGTAACCAATTTTAAGAATACAAGTCGAAACGGTTTTTTTATGACTTAAAAGCGCCGTCTTTTTTAAAAAGTTAAGAAATGTAAAAGCTACCAACGGTGCTAGGAGCAATTTTAATATAAAAATATATAAACTTAAAATAAGCTATTGTGGAGTGAACCTCCTATAGTAGGTGCAGGGGATCTCACCCATCTGGAGATTCTAAATTCGGATGTATCTTAGAACTCTTTGGTTACCCTCGGACGTTTTCGGTACCCCCCGATAATGCACCCTCTTTGGGTGGTACCGATTAGCATCATTTTATGCATGTACGTCGGGCGTTGGCAGCGCTGAGAGTCTGTGAAACCTCCTGCGACTACTAACGGTGTTGCTGTGCTAACTGTTAACTATTGCCTTATGAAAATAAGAATGTAGAACTTTTGTATAGCTTTCTTGCAACTTTCAATTTTTTTCTGTAGCAAATTATAAAGTGGAGTTATAAAGCAGAACAAGCTCGTCTGTTTGCATGAAGTTTCAGTCAGCCGAAGAGACACATGATGACGATGAACACATAGACGAAGATACCGCCAATTATGAAATCCGAGATCAAGAATCTAACACAGGGGAAGAGTTATCAGAGCACGAAAATGAAGAAGTAGGTGCTGGACCATGGTATTCGGGAAAAGACGGGAATACTAAGTGGCGTGAGACGGCGCCACCAAAAAACGGTAGAATAAGAATACAGTATATTAACTCGTTTACCTGGAGTAACTTCTCTATCTAAAGGAAAAAATACTTTTATAGATTGTTGGAACAGTCTTTTTGTTGAAAAAATTATTGACCTAATTGTTGAAAATACCGATAAATTTATTTCATTAAGCATTTTAAACTTTTCTCGGGAAAGAGATGCTAAGTTAACCAGTCGAAGTGAATTATTAGCTCTTCTTGGCTTATTGTTTCTCGCTGTTATTACCAAGAAAGGTAGACTAAACTTTGAGTAACTTTGGCCACAAATGGTGCAGGGATAGAGATCTTCAGACTTAACTGTCTGTAAGATCCGTTTTTATTGAGGTACATACGATTCGACGGTAAGGCACCAGGGCCGAAAGGAAAACTACAAATAAGTTAGCACCAATAAGGCAAATTTTTAACTCAAATGTCGAAAATTGTTAAAACTCCTATGTCCCGTTCAAATATCTGACAATAGATGAAAATCTGGAGACTTTTAGTGGACGTTGCAGTTAATGCCAAATAAACCAAATAAATATGGCGTCAAATTTTTTACTCTGGCAGATGCTAATACGTAAAGTACAAAAAATAGGAGTTATACGTCGGAACCCAACTGGGGGGACCGTTCAAAGTAAACAATGATGCTGCTAGTATTGTCAAACGACTTAGTGAACCAGTGTGGAATACTGGAAGAAACATTACAGTAGTGTTAAATTAGTTGTTGTCATGTTATTGAACCACCGACTAACTGTTCTTGGTACAATTAGAAAGAATAAACGAGAAATACCACACTATTTCTCAATGGTAAAATCCGTCCACCGTTTTCAAATATGTTTGCATACCGAAGTAAATCCGCGCTAGTTTCGTACATCCCGAAAAAAGGCAAGGTTGTGCTTTTATTACCAATTTTGCATGAAACTGACAGCATTGATAAAAATACTGGAGAAAAACAGAAAGACTTGAGATAATACCAAGCTACAATCAACAAAAGGGTGTAGGTATGGACGTCAAATTATGAGCTTTGAATAACTGCGTCCGCAATACAAGGCGGTGGCCAATGATAGTATTCTTTAGTATGCTGAACGTGGCTGGTATAAATTTTCAAGTTATATATGAAGGAAAAGTTAGCCAAAGTAAATTTATGGAAAGAAGAAAATTTTTGGGAAACCTATCATTTGCACTTATTGACGAACATTTGAGAGAGCGTGCGATAAACGAAATTTTTCCGCGAAACATAACTGCTAGAATAAATTAAATTTTAGGTATTCAAGTACCGGGAGATTCAAGAAATAGACAACCACTGCTCCAAGTGTAAGGGTAAAAAGCGAAAAACAAGATATTATTGCGCAAAATGTAAAATATACTTTTTTTTAGAACTTTCTTTTGTTATTTGTAACGGTTGTTGCTAAAAAATATAGACAAGTAAGATGCCCCCCTAAACAAACTGTTTATGGTAATTTTATTTTTTTTTGCATGAAATAAACTTTCTTTTTATTTTTTCAGCAGTAACATATGGAGTTTAACACAATATTTGAAAAAAAAATTGAAAATCTAAAACTACATGAAATGTACTCGTTGCAACAGAAGTTAAAATTTTGTGTGGCCTGTATCTTATTATCTTAATAAACAGCAAATGTTCAAAAATTAACGGTATTTTATTTAATATAAAGCAAAAAATTAAAAAATCAAGGGGTCTGAGAGGACTACTCGAGTACTAATGTCTAAATAAGAGGTGCAACTACTGTAGGGTTAAGATTTACCTTCATCTACCGTTTTACAGTGCGATCTCGCACGCTTTTTAAAAACTTGTCCTATTGGTTAAGGAAGGTTAGTGTTTGTATAATATATTGATACATGTATATATATTTTTATCCTTAGTAACAAAGGAGTCAGAGAAAGAGGGAGCTTTAAATACATTCTTTTCTAGTGTTATATCTTTTTGGATAGAGTATTGAGCAGTCGTCTTTAAAAGCTCCTACCATTTAGTCTAGTGCAATAAAAAAAATTGCCAAAGAAGCGTTAGAAGGCGAAGTAAAAAAGTAGATGTGTTTTACAAGTTTGTAGTATTGTTCTGGCTTTCTTCTGCGAGTAGTCTTAAAATTAAACTGTAGCTCTTATAGAGTAAAGAAAGATTAATAGTTAAGACGCTTTACAACCACATGCAGTAATCGTTTGGAGAAATTAAAGCTGTTTATAAATGTATATAAACTGACTAGAAGCTTCGCTTCGCAAAGTATTAAAAAATCATTGTATTCTTGGACAAATTAGAACTATTAATTGGTAACCTGAATCACAATTTGTGTTATAACCCACCACAATAGAAGAACATTATTGGTTACAAACTGGAATGACATAACTAGTTAACATGAAAAAGATAAATACGAGAAAAGCGTTTCCAAGTAAACAGGAAAATTCAAGTCCTTCCCTCTCATCTAAGGTGGTAAAGTAAAAATTTAAGCTGATACAAAACCCAAACTAAAACATAAAAACAAAAATAAAAAAAATTGACAAATATAGTATGTCCACAGCAAGCCAGAGTAATGAGATGAGAAAATTAATTTTGTAAATTCCAAAAAACTTTTAATTTAAAAATAATTACAAACACAAGGAAGTTCATTGGCCAGCAGTACCGAAATTTTAGTATATAAAGAGTGGAAAACTAATAAACCGACCATTTTTAGTTCATCTTTATTTAATTTTGTCACACCATTTCACTCCACGTAGAAAGTAGAAGAAAGCTTACATTGATGCTGGTTTTACCAGTCTTATTTACGTATATTTAAAGTCGGTATGAAATTTTAAACTTACGCGTTCTTTTTATTCGAGTGAAGGCCTTTTTAACTGTGAGGCCGTGTGGGATATATTTCGTTCTGTGCAATCTCAATAAAGAGTAAAGAGCAATGTTTACAAACTTTCAGCTATTCTAGTGGGTTAAGTAGGTAATTCTCTTAGTGTGTGTTTCAACCACAACTCCCTCATAGTGCTAATTGTCATAAGCTGTAGGTTGTTGTTGTCATCATTTTTCAGTTACAATTATAAACTAGTCTACCGCAATAAAAAAAAACTTTACCCACGTTTATACAGTCAGATTTAAAAAAAAAATTAACTGTCCGCCTAACAAGCCGTTCGTAGGGGTATTGGCGTTTGCCAGCTCTATGCAAAGCCTAGTTTCTTACCTCTCTGCTCGTCTGTCATAAATGCGAGAAAGTTATTATCCAAGCAACAATAGTCCTAAATGACTTAATGCTAAGTGCTTGGCAATAACTTTTCCTGGTTGAGATTTTATGCTCTTAGGTGGGATATCCGTGCTAATTATAAACTTTAAACTTTGGCGGCGGCCGCTCCTGCATGAAGTAGCGGCAAAGTATAAGTGACACCCAAACTGTTTATACTTTACTGTGCAGCAAGGGAAGGCTTTTGTAGTACAACATGAGTGCATTTGGTAGCAGCATGGATTTACGAGTACACTTCCTAGGAAAAGCGTTTTTTCGCTATAAGAACGAGTGGTATATATCCACCAACAGCTCATAAATGCAAGGTTATCACGCTTTATAATATGTGGTAGCTGGTCACAGTTTTCTAGCAAGCGTGCTGACCTAATCGTGGTATTAGCGTTTCGCGTGTTGCACTGCGAGCAATTTTTGTGGTTGGTTCGTTGCAAGGTTGTAATTATGGGGTTAAAACAAAAACCTTTTAACTACAAACACTACCCTTGTTTATACTCTTGGAAGAGAAATAAGTTTAAATTTACCAAACATCTGAGAACTATGGCAATCAAAGATATTTCCGAACATATTTATTTTTTAAAAATATCTTTGTTATTTTATTGGGAAGTTCACATCGCGTATTATTTCAAGTACACTGTAGCGTTTTATTTAGAAAGGTGAATAAAGCCCAAATTCCTTTATTGGGTTGAATTGCTCCCCATACATCCGAAAGATAAAGCTGTTGATTGCTTATTGTTACAAGTATTTTTATCTGCTCCAGGGCATTCCAATATTACATTTAAAACCTATAGTGACTGACTCCTTTTTATTTCTGTCAGTTCGTTGGCAGCTTTCTAAAGCCGACTGCATCCACTTTCATAAATAACTATAAATATGAGATAATGCTGTCTCGATCAAACCCCCTTGCTTCCAACGCCTAACAATCAACTTGGAACCTGCTTAAAAAAAGCAATTCACTTCAAAGTTAAGGTTAGGGCTTCTAAACAGTCTTCTTCTCTAAAGTAAATTAAACATGCGAAAAGATTTAGTTGAACCATTGTGGTGAACGCATTTTGTCTATTATTTATAAAATAAAAGTGGGTGGATTATATTTAATATGCTAAAACGAAGTTCTAGCGGTAAACAGTATAATTACTGGTGAACTACCC